AACATCACAAAAGGAGGGAGGGTGGTGTATCTGACCAGCATTCATGACGGTGGAGCGATAACCTCAATCTACCCATGTCCGTGTGGCAGAACATCTTGTTTGCTTACGGCTCCTGACAATATAGCAGGATGTAACAAATCAGTGATATTGATGTTACTTTTCCCTGTTAACCTCGTCTACAACTCATGTCTGTAACCTTGCATTCGTTTTTACTTCCTACCGAGAAATCCTATTACAAGCTGGTCTGGACAACTATACTAAAAATAGAGCTCATTCATAACTTCTTTAGCCTCAGAGTTAAAAATAAAAAGAATAAATAAAACAAAAAATTATATCACTGAGCCTCTTCATTATATTTTGTAAATCAACATTATTACTAACAACTTGGTTCTTCTGAATTTCCTCTATTCATTCGACTAACTTCCCATTAGTTATCTCAGTTTCTGTGATGATATTAAAAAAGTCTGAGTAAACATACCTTTGTTTTATCCGTAAATATATGTGCAAAGCCGTTGTTCGGCTTTGGACATGAATATTTTCTGTTCCGCTCCTCGTCCCGTTTTCTTTATTCCTTTTTTCAGAACCTTATTCCAATCCACATATATTAGTCTGGATATTTGCAGTAGACTTGGTCACCCTACCCAAGAACATGTGAAATCATTAGCTGACGAATATCAACCAGACCTTTGTACATTTACCGCATCAATTCTTGTTATATGAAAACCTGTCTGTACCATGAATCGTTTCTCAGCCCATAAGATGATTGTCGTAACGCAACCTTCGTAACTTGCGCCAATTATTCGCATTGTACATTCCATCTTTAAGAAAACAATGAATCTTGTGAAATGTTTCAGTAACTGTATACCGTTTTAAAAAAAAATATGTTGCTAATCTTAACATTTTGATCTTGCCTGTAAATTGGCATGTCTCTTGTAACATGTTTGTTATTTGAGAATAAATTATTATTATTATTATTATTATTAGAAGAAGAAGAAGAAGAAGATGGGGCTGCCTTTGACAAAGAACAGTGGGATTAATACTGTACAATCCTGGGAATGTACCCCAGCTAAAACATGTCTCCTTTTCAAAGGCCAGAATTTTCCGAAACGGAAACCCCCTCCAATGAGGTTAACTCTAGACTCGGCGCAACTTGCTGAAGACATACTCCTCTCATCCCACCTGCCCGATGTGCAACAGTGTCGATGGCTATCACGTAGCCTAGACCTTCAGACCACAATGGCTCTTTGCATCTGTAGGTTGCTCCACCCGTCACACCTCACGTCCATCGAGTTACCACATCTGATATCTGTGACATTCAGGAACCGAGCAGACCTGACTGAGGCACTCCAGGCTTGGTATACTTCTAAAAGCGACCTGTATAGCCACATCAGGTGTTGTGAAAGCCGAACTAGATCTGTGAGACAATAGCAGGGAGGCCAAAAGAAACACGCAAAACTGACAGTTGACCTCAATCAACATCCCCTGGCAGGATAACCGAGGATAATATCCTCGTCCATTGAACTTACAGCACAGACAAAGAAACTGCAGAGGCCAGTTCGCACAGAAACGGCCAACTCGGTTTGAACAACTTGTTAAAAACCCAACAGGGGCTGTTGCTGCAGAGGTGCACCAGTTGACGAGACAAACCACTAAGTGCTCCTACAGAAACTTAAAGGACTAAGGGGTAAGCTGCTAGAAATCAGGAACATGTGCTCTCAGATGGATTCGAAGATAATAATCTTAACTGAAACATGGTTATACCCTGACATTGCAGACGACGAAGTGAGTTTGCAAGGCATGACACTCTTCCGAAGCGATAGAGTACACCAAACAGGGAGCAGAGTGGCTATATATATAAACAGCCACTTAAAAGCCGAGTGACTATACGACACCCAACTAAATGAGGTGACAGAATCATGTTGGTTTTTTTCACAAACATGGCAATAAATACTTGATTGGAGGGGTTTACCGACCTCCCTTAGGTACTAAAGCCCAGAAAGACAAACTGACTGAGGCAGTACTGCGACTGCTACTCCTTGGGTTTGATCAGCTACTCTTAGCTGGAGATTGCAACACCCCATCTCTAAATCTCAGCAGTCAGGGCACAACTCCCACTGGTTGGCTTCAAAAACGACTTGGTGCAGCCATTAGAAGCTCTAGGCTTACTAAGCGCGTATGGCTGAGAAACTACCTTGAGAATAGAAAGTTCCGTACCAAGGTAAATAGCGTGCACGCGAGCTGGCGAGTATCCACATCGGGAGTTCCAAAGGACCATCTTAGGTCCACTTCTCTTCCTGATATTTATTAACGACTTTTTAGACTCAGTTAGCTCACCGGCATTGATCTACGCAGACGACGCAAAGATCTGGAGGTCCATTAGAAGCGAAGAAAATTTGACTGAGCTTCAAAAGGACCTAACATCTATTGAGGAATTATAAGTGAAAAACGGTTTATAGCTCAACCAACCGAAGTGTCACGTCATGTATATTCTGCCCCACATGACGCAGACGATTTGCACCCTCAATGGAAGTCCTCTCCCTAATGTCTCCTGAGAGCGCGATCTCGGTTTCACAACCGCAGAAGGCGTGCACACGAGTCCGAACTATGTAGGAGAAGCAGCCAGAGCAAATGCGACCCTGCACTTTATGCAAAGACAACTTTGTGCTATCACCCCAGAGTGATTCCTAACAATATTTAAGAAATACGTGCACTCGCACCTCGAGGTTCACAACGTCATCACACCCCCTCTGCTTAAAAGAGACACAAATCTCTTGGATCGAATGCAGAGACGAACAACTAAATGGGTGACAGGTTTGGAGAGCAAACCTTACGAAGATAGACTCCAGAACATGGGATTATTCCCACTGAGTTACAGGAGGATTAGAGGTGATCTGACTATGACGTACAACATGTTAAGCACGCCCAACCATCCCAACGAGAGCATCTTACCGATGCATCACCACCACTCCTCGAAAATTCTTACATCAAAGAGCGAATACTCAGGTTCGTGCTCACATTTTCTCATTGAGAGTCATCGCAACCTGGAATGCTCTCCCAGCCTAGTTGACCATGGCTCCCTCAGTGGACAGCTTTAAGAAGAGACTTGATTATCACATCTGGATTATCATCTCCCTGTAGGACAGGCTGTACATGATGCATGTCTTGTAATCTGCTAGTTGTTATCACTGACATCTCATCGGATCACTTACTTATTCTATCTCGCCTTTTATCTCTGTTTCCTCTCCGTAGCTAACACTACGGTCCTCTCTCACAATCTTCATTACTAATTAATAAACTAAATTATCTACTGATTTACTTAGTTCTGAAGTCTTATTCATATTAGCTCTAGAATCTTATCCTTATTATTCTCCTGATCACCTCTTTGGTATTATGATAGCTGCTGGTACCCAGAAACCCTACTGCCCTGAAACTAACGTTTTCATCCAAACCCTGAGACATACAAACTCACAATCAACAGCCAACTGACTGTCATTAGACAGTCAAGTGGCTAGACCTCCATTCATTGGAAACTACCAAACACCTGGAGTCGTACTGAAGGAACAAGAATCGAGTGCAAAGAAATCGATTGGTTCATACTAGCTCGTGAAAAAGATATTGGATATTGGATCCGACCTTCGCATTACCGTTCGTAAGGCGCTCAAGGCCTATGCGACCTCCAAAATGCCTTACTACGGTGTTCGAGTCGGTCGTAACGTCGGTGTCTACTCGAGCTGGTGAGTGTCATGAAATCATTAACTAGAACATAATTGGGTCGGAGTGTGAAGACCTTGTAAAAGGTTACGCCGGGGCGTGCTTCAAAAAGTTCACTTCCTATGATGAGGCCCAGAAGTTTGTTGGTAGTTTCAGTTTCTTCCTATGATATGATTTGTTAGAAAGTAAAAGTCAGGTTAAAACTGTGTCTCTGAAAAGGCGAAAGATTGAAGATATAAATAATGACCAAAGTGGTCAAGGTATGGCGCTTAATAACTATATATTAAGTCAAGGTTCATTATTGGACGAGTTATCTCCTGAAGAATATCCTATAAGTAGTGGTCATAGTCCAAGCATGCTGACATTTTATCACGGTAATACTTCATTGATATTTATGCCGAAAGAGATTTATGTATCATTTCGGCTTCTAATTTGTCACAACAATCTACAAACCGTGTATTTTGCTAATAATTCATCCACTTCTAGCTCATAGAATAATGCATACATGAATCGTTGATTCATACCCGACAATGATTCTTGGTCGTTACTTAAATAACGGTGACTTGCAATTTCAGTTTGAGACGAGTGTTCGTGCATCAGTTTATCTGCACAATTAAATCTTGTAAATTAAGGATAGTGTAAATTAGCTATCCGCGTGATTGGTAAAAATAGCAATACGCAATTATAGATGCTGAGTTATTCTTAGTTGGTTAGTAATTCGTAGGCTTTCGTGGTTTAGAGCAACCTAAGAATTTTATCATCCAAGATGCAGAATATCTAGTTAAAATATTAAAGGAATTTTATGCTGGGATAACATTAATTTGTACGAAGGATTACGAATTTAATTCCTGTAGTTTACACAAAAGAGGTGGCTACGGTAACAAAACTCAAAATAGTTTAGCTGTCGCCTGAATTTTTCCTGGAATCTGCTGCATAAATTGCCATTAAAACGTGTGTTGATCGTTAAGCTCTTAAACAAAATCTCTTGAACTCAATCTCATTACCTGTGTTGGTTCAGGGAATTATGGGTTGGGCTTATTGCACGAATTTGTATGTTTTGTATTTGTTAGTGTTTGCAGTAAATTTTAAGATCAGAATTCCTCCATACCTTCACAACGATAAGCATGTTTATATAGCAGATTAACCCTTGCTGTATTCACTATATTAGTCGTTAAAATAGATGAGGTGCTGTTTTGGCCTTTGTCTGTCGAGTTCTGCAGCCTGATTTGGTAGGATATTAGAGTTTTAGTTTTGTTATCCTGGTGTCAACAATAAACGTTCCAATCTAATACAAACTAGGATTTTAATGTTCATAGTTTAACTAGATACCATGACGTAGTTTTTTAAATTACAGGATCAAAACCTAGTTGTCCGAATAGGGAACTGCTATCATTTAATATTAAAGGCTACTAATTTCAAAATAGAGCGACTAGTCACTTTTCTATAAATGTTAACAATTATCTTATCACATGATAAGCTATCTTTTATCGGCTAAGACTTCTTGAGAATACTTCCATCGGTAATTAACTGTAGTAAACATTATTGATGAAATAAAGCATACAAAACTATTGCAAAACCACACTCAAATGGTTTGGATTTTATAGTCATTCTCTGTTTAGTCGTTTGCAGTACCATTTGCCTTTGTTATTCCACACTTATTATTCTGCAATTTTCTTGTACCTTTTCGCTTATTTACAGTTCTCTGATACTCTTGGTATTGTTCTTACTTGGTTTCTTTTTAACTGATTTTCTCTTTCTTCTGACACAACAGTCCAGCAACTAGTATACAAGTGTTAGACACTACGTTCGTCTCTTTTCTTTGTCTTTCTGCTATGTTTATTTTCAACAAACAAGATTTCTAGTCAACTAACCTGACTGTGGATGTAGTTAGTTAGCCAGTTAATCAGTCATAGTCTGGTACAATTATCTCTAAGCAATCATAATGTTGTTTTCTTTGACGTAGGATTTTGTGGTATTTTCTTTCGTAAACAAATTAATCAGAATATATACCAAATTACTGACATTTCTAAGCAATTATACCTATTTTTCGTCTCACTGTCGATATCCTTCATCTTTCTATCTTCTGACCAGACGCATCATGTCCACGTCGAGTAATGGTCTATACTGACGGTTCGTGTAAGGGTGCACTCGATGATCGTCATGCTGGTTATGGTGTTTATTGGGGACCCAGCCATCCATGGTAGGCATCAAATTGGCTCTTATCATTTCAAGGAATGTCTCTGAACGGTTAGAAGGAGAGCAAACGAATAATAGAGCAGAAATCGAGGTAAGAATATTTTCTGATATTGCTTTAAAATATCAAGCATATTTATCTAGAACGTTGACTATAATGGCTCATTAATCATACTGACATGTTATAAATTGTGTTACCTTGAACCGTAGACCGTTAATTCAGTGCTTCACTATTCACAGTGAGAGTTCTCAATCTCCATTTCTAAAATCAATTTATCTGCCTACCGTGTATGTAACATCTGTTCTCAGTCACTCTAACCATCTAGTCAGTCAGTCAGCTACAACCTAGAACTTCATGCGTTCAAGTTGCCATACCAAAGTAGCACACGGAGATGGAATAGTCAATTCAAATCCCACAGTAGTAGAGATAGTAGGAGTATTATCAGTAATGGAGATTAAGGTTCGAAGATATCATTCGAGAAGTATAACATTTACCTACTTACTTACGCCTGTTACCCCCAGTGTCACATAGGCTGCCGAGCAGCGTTCTTCAACCTATTCTGTCCTGGGTCTTCTTTTACAGTTCTGTCCGACTGTTGTTCATTCTGCCCATGTCCGTTTCCAATACTGGGCGTAATGTGTACCGGATACACGGAGAGTAAATCGGGCTGCTTCTTTGTTTTGACAAGGCGAAATCAGATTAATGACTTTACTAGGGTCCTGTATGCGCATTTCCGAGACGCAGCATACATCGATTGAGCGAGATTCTAATGTTCTAGCTAACAAAGCCTGTTGCCCTATTTGACATAATGTACGTACATTAAAAGCTCCAACATGTAGTCTAGAACGGGGTTTCAGTAGACCAGAAATGACATTTCGTGAACTCGCATTGTTTACATTAGCTGTGCAGTGTGATAAAGGAGTGTGAGAAGAGTTAGTCGTGGAGATGAGAGGTACTAAGGGGTGTAGGAAGAATTTGATTTTGACCAATTTGGTCTCGTGTGCTGTTACGGGTATGAGGGCGGTTGTCACTTCCCGGCTGCCCACACCGTGGAAGGTTGTTTCTTGAGGAACCTGAAAAGGAAGGTATATTAGCGTTGGTCTTAGAGACCTGGGTGCGTGACCGCAGAGCCCAAGGGACAACTGCTTGAGGCCGGTCACGCACGGCCTTTTGAGTATTATCTCCGCTCTTAAAAGCCCTTAGTGGGCAGGCACCCTTACCACCGGGGACGGAAATCCGTGAGGTAGGGTGAGGTGTGACATTTTTAGGGTCGACCTTTTCTAACCCTCCTTCCTTGTGAGAAGGTAGCATCGCTGCAGATGCTGGTTGTCCGAGGGAAACACCTTACTGCTGTCACACCCCTCTGCAGTCAGCAGTACGACTTCGCCCTCAGACCTCGAGTAGCTGCTTATAGTCTCATCGTTCTCCAATGGACCTGCCTGGCATGGCAGAACCTTCAGGAACATATGTTCCAGCCAATATAGCTCGGTTGGGTCATCACGATAGGCAAACCCGACCACCACGTCAAGGTAGCAGCTACGGTCGGGCTACGGGTCTCGCTGGTGTAGGTATAGCATTCAGTCGTAGGGCAGAATAGGTTGCGCAGTAGTTCGCTCCGTCTTACTTTATGGCTGTGAAACATGGCCAGTGAGAGTAGAAGATATTCGTAGGTTACTGGTTTTCGATCAAAGGTGTCTCCGAAGCATTGTTCGTATATCGTGGGACACCCGAGTGAGTAACGCTGTTATTAGGAATCGGGTGCTAGGTAAGAATGGCAGATCAATCGATGAAGTGTTGAAACTTCACCAGTTGAGGTGGTTGGGACATGTGTTGAGTATGCCCAACCACCGACTGCCTCGTCGAGCCTTGTTTTGTAGTGTAGGAATAGGTTGGAAGAAAGCTAGGGGCGGCCAAACCAAAACATGGCAGAAATCCATGAAGTCATTGACGAGTGGACTGAGCCATGTCGGTAATTGTCGACTACCTGGTTGGGGTCCACGAGATGATAATAATCGATGGTTAGAGACCTTGAATGACATGGCTCAAAATCGTTCGCAATGGCGCCGGTGCATTTATTCTTTGTGTTCTCTCAAATCCTAATCTTCTGGATTCTTCAACCCCTCTAGTTTCGACTCTCTAAAATTTTCTCACTGAATCATACCTCTTGAATAGTATCTTCTAATCCTAACCTCTCCGATTACTTCTAATTCCCTTACTACCTCTTCTACTATTGGATTTGAATTGACGATTACTTCTCTGTGCTGATGTGGTATGGCAACATGAACTGATGTGCTTATGTACGAAGTTCTACGTTGCATCTGACTGACTGACTGACGTAGGGCAGAACTAGCGCTCCTAGACTGGATCCCTGTAGATAGTCGCCTGTGCGCTGTCCGATTGAATGGGACAGTAAGGACTCGGAAGGATAGGGGCACTCGCCGTTGCCTCTTCGTCGTATCTGCCTACGCCCCTACTGACTGCAGTTCAGACGATATGAAAGATGAGTTTTACAGAAAGCTTTCGGACTTCCTCCAAGAAGCTAGGCGCTCTGATGTAGTAATAATGGCTGGTGACTTTCATGCTCAAGTAGGTAGACCGAGTGAGCAGGAGAGACCCCTTGGTGGATCTTATGGTGTCGCTGCTCAGAGAACAGATAATGGCGACCGTCTGTTACAACTGTGCACAGATAACCGCCTATTCCTAACAAACACTGACTTCAAGCATAAGGTGAAACACCTTTTGACCTGACGACCTCCAAAGTCGTCTCAACGTTGGACCCAACTAGATCACATCGCCATCAGCCACCGATGGAGAGCTTTGATAGAGGATTGTCGCTCGTTCTAGGGCACATGCCTAGATTCAGATCATGCCCTAGTGCGAGCTAGTATTTGTTTGAGGCTTACTGGGCGTAGCAAAGACACCGTAAGAAAGCCTCTTATGATTTTACCTAATGATAATAAAGCTAAGAATATATTTCAGGAGCAACTAGAAAGAGAGTTCAACCATGTAAGTGATTCCCATCCGGCAGCAGGTCGGAATGAAATCCAAAAGGCTGTGGGAACAGCAGTGATATCTTCTAGTAAGGTAAACCATAAGGCTAAAATGAAGCCGTGGATCTCAGTAGCATCTACCGAACTGATGGATGCTCGAAAACTCATCCCGCCTGGCTCTGAGTGCGATGAGGAGCGGAGTCAGCTTAGACGTAGGCTGATAAAAAGCCTACGCAATGATCGAGAACAGTGGTGGGTGGAGAAAGCGAGAGAGATGGAAAAGGCAGCGGCGATAGGCAACACTAGACAACTATTTAGACTCATCAAGGAAACTGGTATTAGGAACCCAAATGTAAGTGAGACTGTTTCGGAAAAGGATGGTCTTATTATCCATTCTCAATCCAGGAGACTGGACCGATGGGCAGAACACTTTAGGGATCAGTTCAACTGGCCTCGAGCCACTCTTCGGTTACCAACGATCTCCAGTCATCCTGAATGGCAAATCGTCGTAAGTCCCCCTATTCTTTATGAAGTGGAGAAAGCGTTAGGAAATCTGAAGCGAGTACGAGCTGCAGGTCCTGATAGACTGACCCCTGAGATATTTAAGGATGGTGGTACAGTTTTAGCAGCTAGGTTGACTGAGATCTTAGGTAGAATCTGGGGACTGGACGTAATCCCATCCGAGTGGTCTCAATCCTTGATTGTCCCAATCTATAAGAAGGGACAAAAGTCCTTGTGACAATCACGGAAATAAGTCTAACTAATATAGTATCTAAAATATTGGCCTCAATAATACTTCGACGCTTAACGAAAACTCGTGAAGAGCAGACTACCCTAAGCAACAATGCAAGTATGTTCGGGATGCGGTTTTCCCCGTCGAAATGCGAAATGTTGCTTCGAAATTGGGTTGCGTCGACACCTAAACTAGTGATAGGGAATGAAGTAGTCGAGCGTGTTGACCACTTCACTTATCTTCGGAGTTTCATCAGTGATGATGGCCTGGTGACTGACGAGATCTCAGCTCGGATACAGAAGGCTCGATTGGCTTTTGCCAACATGCGTCACTTATGGCGTATGCGAGATATCCGTTTACTAACTAAAGGACGAGTGTACTGCGCAGTGGTTCGCTGCGTCCTACTTTATGGATGTGAAACATGGCCAGTGAGAGTAGAAGATATTCGTAGGTTACTGGTTTTCGATCAAAGGTGTCTCCGAAGCATTGTTCGTATATCCTGTGACACCCTGTTGTTAGGAAACGGGTGCTAGGTAAGGATGGCAGATCAATAAACGCGGTAGTGACACTTCATCAGTTGAGGTGGTTGGGACATGTGTTACATATGCCTAACTACCGACTGCCTCGACGAGCTTTGTTTTGTAGTGTAGGAATAGGTTGGAAGAAAGTTATGGGTGGTCAGACCAAAACATGACAGAAATGTATGAAGTCATTGACAAGTGGACTGAGCCATGTCGGTAGTTGTCGACGGTTAGAGACGCTGAATGACATGGCTGAAAATCGTTCGCAATGGCGCCGGTGCATTTATTCTTTGTGTTCTTTCAAATCCTAATCTTCTGAGTTCTTCAACACCTCTAGTTTTGACTTCCTAAACTTCTCTCACTGAATCATACCTCTTGAATAATATCTTCTAATCCTAACCTCTCCGATTACTTCTTACACCTTTACTACCTCTACTACTATTGGATTTGAATTGACAACGAGATTCCCACCCTATCCGTGCTTTTTGAGCTTGTTTGAACAGCATCAGTACAACTTGTGTATGTGGAGCATTTTCTTTATAGCTGGAGCATAACTGCAGCTCTCCTGAACCTAGTCTTTGTTGTCCAATGTGTTTCACTGGTTCCAAGTACCATCAGGTTGTACCTTTTCATTTCTGAAGCAACTTGGATGATTCTCCCGGTCTCCCGAAAAGTACGAACATTCCATGTACCTAAATTAATGGTTACTCTGGCATCGGCCTCATGACTTCCGAAGGAACTCGGCTCTCATCTTGAGACGTCCTAACTTTTTTAAATGAAGACCTTCCAACTGCCAGAGTAAAGAGTTTAAATGGTTCGAATTATTTTTTCTGGTTGGCGTTTTTTTAGCGCGTTCGTTTTCTGCAGGATAGGGTCTCTAACCCCATGCCCAACCCTCCTCCTTTATCCGGGCTTGAGACCAGCAGTAACCCCAGAAGAGCTCAAGGCGGGATTTGTCTTGATTTCATTGATGATTATGTCAACTCCTGAAAATTCAGACGAGGAAAGTGCCCTCTCTAAAAGCATGTCAATGATATAGTTGAATAAGAATGGAGAAAACGGACAACCCTGACGAACACCACATAATCAATTCTGACGACAGTTCTCCATAAGCTTTCACTTGACTAATGTTTCAGCAGAGAGCCTGTGTAAGCTCAATACACTTTTTTGGTACTTTTTTTCAATGACAGACACTGCCACAGAACCTCACGATCACTAGGCATTCGCCACCTTAAGGTCGAGGAATACAACTATTGTCGGACGTCCGAACGTGTGTCTGTGTTCTAGGAACTTCCGAAGTGTGAATATCTGGTCTATGTGTCCACGTTCAGGTCTGAAACCATCGTGGTTTTCTCGAGTCTGCTCTTCACGAGCTTTAATTAGGCGTTGAAGTATTATTAAAGCTAATATTTTAGATACTACATCAGTTAAACTGATTTCTCTATGATTGTCACTGGGACAATCAGTAATTGAGACCAGTTAGATTCGCCATTCAGGTTGACTGGAGATGGTGAATAGCTAAAATGCTACTAAAGGCCAGTTAAACTGCTACCTAAAGTGTACTGCCTCTATCCAATCTCTAGGTTTGGATGTGAATAATAGTCCCATCTTTTTCCGAGATTGTCTCACTGACAGTTGGATTTCTAATAATACTAGTTTCCTTGGTAAATTTGGACAGTTGTCTACTGTCACCTGTTACCGCCGACTTTTTCATCTCTTTTGCTTTCATAATTTCATGTTGTAATGATATGGTGTAGCAACGTGAACTGATGCTCATATGTACCACATTCTATGTTGCTTATGAGTAACTGACTGAATTCTAGCTATCTTACTGTTATAATGCTGCTACGTATAGCCTATTCAGTCCTAGCGGCGTCCAATTCAAATATCCCAATACGACCCAAAATGATATTTCCAAATCTCCTATATATCAACGCAACACCGCGGGATGGAGTTGTTTATTGGGTCGAGTACAGAAGAGAGGTAGGCAGGAAGAAACGGAATCGGAATCATGGAGTCTTACAGATAGTGCGCATTTATACATTAAGGTCGAATAGGAAAGAGCATCAAAGTCTGTGACATTGACAGTTTAGGACGACCAATAGGAAAAAACATTTGAAATGACATTGACAGTCCAGATGACCTATAAGAGACAACATTGAAGTATTTGACTTTGACAGCTAAAACGACCATAATTTTGACCAATAGAAATCGACCAATAGGATTATGCTTCCAAAAATAGTAATCTTAGGATATTTGGTGAATATCCTAACACTTACATTTTAGAATCATAACTTCAGTCAGTCAGTCAAACGTGACATGGAACCTTGGCACAGGTTTACATTAGTTCAATTTGCCATACCCCATTAGTAGAACACGTAAAAAACTGTAGTAGAGGTAGTAACATCGTAAGTGGGAGTTTAAAAGATCACAACTGATTGTTATCTCCATTTTGGTTACCGAATTACTCTCCTTCCTGTATATTTAATACATAACATCACAAAAAACTTTTATTTCTTTTTTAATCCACTTCTTTAAATTAGGCAGTAATATGTGCAATTAAACAAGCACACATTGGTGGTATAACTCATTTAGGAATAGTGACCGATAGTAAATTCACTGAAAACTGTGCAACAAAATGGGGTAAACAATGGGCACAGAACGCTTGGAAATTAGCTAGTGGTAAAGATGCTAGATTAAAAGAACCTGTCAAACGATTACTTGAGGTTATCAACGAATCAGGAATACAAATAACTTGGGTAAAGTTGTTTTTGTGTGTATTTACTTTCTGTCTTCGTAAATAGTTATGAAATTATGATGATATAAATTATAATGTTATGCCATACATTGAATAAGACGTACATTTTTGGGTATTGTTTACCACTTATTATATTTATCACTGTGTGGAAAAAAATCAATGCCAACTACTTGATGTACTTGATGCATAGCTTGTAATATAAAAAGTAAATTTCGATAAATTAAAAGAAATCCAATGATAATTACGGCAACAAAACAAAATGTTAGAATGGTGACCATTGTTGAAGATGATAGTATGTAGTTTGTTATTACGGAAATTAAATATGTTAAGTTGTTCAGTTTCAGTAATCCAGCGACAACAATTCATGTAAAACAAAATAATTTCATTTTTTCTCAAATTTCTTATATTTTCGTCATAATTATAAGTGTATTCGTAATGAAAAAATTCGAATTAACTAATGTATTATTAGGTAACTGCTTATGAGGGTTACAATAAGTCTGAGGACTATTGATTACTCTGCACTTCATAGAGATGCGTACAGATCTTCCTCAAAATTAATTGTGTTACTAATTGATACTGAACTAGATTACTTTGAGACTGCAAAGGTGTGAATTCAACCTATGACTTTTTGAAAACTTTTACCGATTTTCTGTCTACTATATGCCCCAAGTCTTTCATCGTTTTATTTCGTTAATTCTCCGTTTATTTGCCAATTTCGTTTTGTCTTTTTCCATTCATGTTCAGTATCATGTTCGTGGTCATCAAGGTGTACACGGTAACGAAGAAGCAGATTCATTGGCTAATATAGGTGCTAGTAAACCATTACCAAAGAAATAAACAGGCGAATAAGCAAGCAAACGTGCATGTGATAAAACGTTCACTTTCGTTGTTGTACATAATGAAAAACAATAGGAATTTATGCATGTTTAGTAAATTTATGTATAAACCATGTGTTATATCAATCTTTTGTTTTGATTTTTTCTTTTGCTGTTTTGTGAATGTTTGTGCTTTTTATCGTTTGTCTCGCTCACTGTTGGTTAGATTAAAGTAAATCTAATTTCTTCTTGTCATGTGGTCTGACTAGTTGGTTGATTGATTGGTTCTGTTATTGTGAAATATGTATTTCTCTGTTTATTTACATATACTATGTATGTTGACCTTGAGTCATACTTAAAGTATATGGAGCTAGTATTTCTTGTCCCAGTTGATACAAACCAATTTGTGTCGGGGTTGAGTCCTAAGACTTACTGGCTAAAAACAGAATGCCTTAACCATTGAACTACCGTTCCGCATTCACTGTACTGTACCGATTCGGCTAACAGGTTGCATTATGGTTCGTTTTTTTCTGGTTAGTTAAAATATACATATACATTAATTAAGAAGTCAATTTTATGGTTGTTTTGTGCTGACCAAATTCTATCGGTCAAGTGCTCAGCGATTTAAACGTAAAACTGGCTATGGATTTGATCAGTTTGGTATGTATTGTACAACCCTTCTCCCCATGATAATTTATGTTTATCTCTAAGATAATGAAAGCATTTGAATACACGTGTTTTTACTAAGCTACGAAAAGGAAAAGATTTATACTTTGATTAACTGTCGAGTAGTAACCAAAATCATATTTTTTAGTGTTTTAGTGCTGATCGAAAAATTCTGTCGGTCACAATGCTGTGTGTCAGTCAGTAATAGTCTAAGCGACTGAACATCGTTTAAGTCATGCTTAAATTTTAGGTGGTTGAATGTTTCTTCCTAGTTACCTCTAATCATCAAAGTGTATCCGAAATCCGAGGAGGCGGAGCTAATGCTCCCTGTAGATTTCGAACTAATTCAGGTGAGTGTGAACTTCTATCTAGTAGGTATTCAGTGCAACAGTTTCTAATGTATTGATTCAACTACTTATGCTTTCCCATCATCCTTTTTTGGAAAAGCATATGGGTAAAACAGTGGTTAATGTTATCTGTTTGCACATGTTAAACTTTTTTACGTTGATATCAGCAGTTTTATGCTTATGTGTTTAATCTTTATCTTCATCCTAAAATGTAATGTGAATGATCATGCCATACTGTCAGGTTATGTTGTAACTGAGCTATAGAGATAATATGGTATATTATTGAATTTTAACAACTCATCAACTTTCATGTATGTGTTAAATTTAATCATAGGTCGAATTAATAATTTCATGTTTATCTATTCTACCGATCAGTTAGCCAGACTCAACGTAATAAAACATTATACATGTAGGTTCATATAGGTTCAAATTAACACACCGTATTAGCATAACTAGATGAAATTATAACGATAAGTCTCAGAGTAGTAGAGGTAGTAACACTAATAACAGTAAGTGGAAAGATTAGGCATTGAAAATAGGATTTAAGAAGAAAATGTAAGTCAGTGAAATAAAAAGAAATTACGAAAAATTTTGGACCTGACGGAACACAAAAAGTGAATACACTTGCACCATTACGAACGATTTTTAGCCGTCACCCGAACATATTAACCTTTGTGTATGAAAATCACATATCAATCAGGTAGTAGGTAGTCTGCGTCTACCTGCCTGGCTCTTTCTAATAGCCTTCATGGACTGATAGCATGTCTTTGTTTTGCAGCAACATAACTTTCTCCCATAATTATTCGTCAAGATACTATGTGGATGGGTATACATAATGAGATTTCTAAGATGAGTGAAGCGATTTACATATCCAACTACTCCACTTCCCATAGTTCTACTGATACTTTCCTTTTTTGTTCATTTATAGATTATGTCTCAAGTGTTGTCAATTGATACTAAATCAACTAAACCGTTTCCTGGTCAGAAACCAGGTACAAGTGGTTTACGTAAACCAACAAAAACATTTACGCAACATGGATACACCGAGAATTTCATACAATCTATTTTAAATGCAGCTGTTGGTGATTTGCTGGCCAAATCTCAACCAGTTCGACTTTTATTAGGTGGTGACGGTCGGTATTTTGTACGAGAATCACTGCAAAGTATTATTATCCCAATATGTTTAGCTAATGGGGTAAGTGTCCATTTTATTTAATAATAAATTGTTTGGCTATCGGTTTTTTTATGGAATTTGGTTTAATTTTTAGGTTGCATCTTTCATCTCGTCGTGCTAATCAGGTACAGCAACTTGGGTCAATCCACATCTGTATCAGGCTCTTGTTGATTATATCTTCCTGTCTCCGCTGACTGAGTTAGCATATCATTGAAAGCCTGGGAAGCACTGAACAGTTCCTCCACTAGTATGAGATTGCACAGTGACATTACTATGCTTTTACAACTCCACCTAGAGTCGAACTCAGCACTTTTGGGTTTCAAGGCAAACATTTAACTATTGGAATCACTAGTCATTTACTTTAAGATGTTCTTGAAGTCCTGAGAAGAAGCTGTGACTAGTGAGGTTCAGATATGATTGGAGTGAAACTGATGTCAACAATCGCTTTGAGTGTTCATTGCCCAGTGTCACTAGTTGATTGCTGTTGTACACCAGCCCACTAATTCGAATGGTTATTCGTTCATCTTAGACTTGAAGTTCTTAAGTTCAATTCCTGTCGGCATTGTGATTGCATACGACTACTGTGGAGTTCCATGATAAGATGAAACATCTGTTCAGTGCTTCCTAGTTCCCAATGCTTGTCTAAGGTCGGTCTTTATGATATAATGGAACAAAAAGGGTGAGAATATGGCTCGTGGGACTATCGTACAAAGGATTATCATTTATAATTTTTCAGTAGACGCTTGTATTATTATATTTTTGTGTCCTCCTATTTTGTAGTTTTCATTTAACTCATAAATAGTTCTCATTGTCTTGTTATTTTCAGATTTATCGCTTTGATGTATTGTTTAAATCTCATGTGTTTGTTAGTACTACTTATATAGGATCAAGTATTGATAATTTCAAGTAAACAAACACCCTTAGGGAGATAGCCATAGACTTTGCTGCTGAGTTATCGGGATTTCCGATTAACTGAATCAAATGAATGACTTTATCTCTGGCTATTTCATATTCTATGTGCTCAGGATGAACCTATTAATTTCGCCTTGGCTCTAAGTTTATTTGTTTTGCGTTTTCATCTACAAATTGAGAAACTGTCTAGTCTTATGACTAATGCATAATGTATCATTTATTTCGTATACTTTTCTTCTGTATAATATTTAGGTTTCTGAATTGTTTGTTGGTCAAAATGGAATTCTATCAACTCCAGCTGCTTCATGCATAATTCGTAAGCACCGATTAAATGGTGGTATTCTTTTAACAGCTAGTCATAATCCTGGTGGACCAAATGCCGATTTCGGTATTAAATATAATTGTGAAAATGGTGGCCCAGCACCAGAGAAAGTAACAGATGCTATTTTTGCACAGAGTGAAAAATTAACTTCGTATAAAACTGTCAAAGAGTCGTTAAATATTCAATTGAATTGTATTGGCTCAACAAAATATACTTTATCCAATGGTCAAACTGCCACTGTAAGTAGTAGATAATATTAGTTTTTTTTCAAGAATTTTTGAGTTATCGATTCGGATTCGTTGATTTTTTTTATCACATCTACTTTTCAATGATTTTGATTGTAATCGGTTCTTGGATTTCCGTTTTACTCCTGCTGGTTGTCTGATTGACTTAATTATTGTCATATCTACGCGCTGCAGTTTTAGAGAACAACTGTAAATGGATATTGAATTGGTTGATCGAGTGACTTGATTAGTTTTGTTTCGTTCTAATTAGATGTGGCTCAATGTATGTTTTTGCACTGTTTGTTTGAGGTTTATCAATAAATGTAAACTATCTGATTGAAATCTGCAAGATAACCATAACTAGTTGTTAAAAGCACTAAGTACTATGGCTTAGAATCGGTCATAGTAGTTCAGATGTATGTAGTTTTCATCTTCCTATAGACCTTGAGTTCCATTATCCTCTCATAAGTCAGTCATTATACCCTTCTATTTGAATCATATATTCCGTGTATAATCTTTATCATTATCATTATTCCAATGTTATTTTGGTTTCTTTTCCTATTCGGTGTATTAATTTCATCTCGTCTTATATCAGCGCACATCTGCCTCGTCAGTCAGATGCAACGTAGAACTTGGTACATAAGTACATCAGTTCATGTTACCATACCACATCAGCACAGACATCTGCCTCGTGATCTATATTGATTATGATTCAATGATTTTTGGGAATTCTTAAAGCCATTCATTGCTTTTAGACTTCTGTCGATTGAATTCATTTATTCAGTACATGAGGACTTTTTTCACACTTATGAACTCTCGTCAATCCTCGAATCAACACAGTTCGCAACATTTTCTAGGTGTCGTTCGTGAGAATCAACTCATCGTAAAATTAACTCAACGTTTTGGTCTTGCGGATACTTACTTGAGGATTGGATTACAGTTGTTCTTCCTGGTTTTGTAGCACTGACTTTGAGATTTCCTAGCTATAAATTGTCGAGAGTAGTGGATCTACTGGAAAATATATGTACTATTAATTGTATGGGTTTTTATTTTATTCTTGTAGATATTCCGGATGTGAATCATTTACATGGTCGCCTAACTGTTTTTCTAGTTGTTCATGAAATATATTCTTAGCTTTATTATCATTAAGTAGAGCCGTAAGAGGTTTCCTTGTGATATTGTTCTTGCGTCCAGTAAGGCGCAAACAAATACGCGCTCGCACTAGGGCATGATCTGAATCTAGGCATGTGCCCTAGAACGAGCGACAATCCTCTATCAAAGCTCTCCATCGGTGGCTGATGGCGATGTGATCTAGTTGGGTCCAACGTTGAGACGACTTTGGAGGTCGTCAGGTCAAAAGGTGTTTCACCTTATGCTTGAAGTCAGTGTTTGTTAGGAATAGGCGGTTATCTGTGCACAGTTGTAACAGACGGTCGCCATTATCTGTTCTCTGAGCAGCGACACCATAAGATCCACCAAGGGGTCTCTCCTGCTCACTCGGTCTACCTACTTGAGCATGAAAGTCACCAGCCATTATTACTACATCAGAGCGCCTAGCTTCTTGGAGGAAGTCCGAAAGCTTTCTGTAAAACTCATCTTTCATATCGTCTGAACTGCAGTCAGTAGGGGCGTAGGCAGATACGACGAAGAGGCAACGGCGAGTGCCCCTATCCTTCCGAGTCCTTACTGTCCCATTCAATCGGACAGCGCACAGGCGACTATCTACAGGGATCCAGTCTAGGAGCGCTAGTTCTGCCCTACGTCAGTCAGTCAGTCAGATGCAACGTAGAACTTCGTACATAAGCACATCAGTTCATGTTGCCATACCACATCAGCACAGAGAAGTAATCGTCAATTCAAATCCAATAGTAGAAGAGGTAGTAAGGGAATTAGAAGTAATCGGAGAGGTTAGGATTAGAAGATACTATTCAAGAGGTATGATTCAGTGAGAAAATTTTAGAGAGTCGAAACTAGAGGGGTTGAAGAATCCAGAAGATTAGGATTTGAGAGAACACAAAGAATAAATGCACCGGCGCCATTGCGAACGATTTTGAGCCATGTCATTCAAGGTCTCTAACCATCGATTATTATCATCTCGTGGACCCCAACCAGGTAGTCGACAATTACCGACATGGCTCAGTCCACTCGTCAATGACTTCATGGATTTCTGCCATGTTTTGGTTTGGCCGCCCCTAGCTGAACTGAACTGCAGTCAGTAGGGGCGTAGGCAGATACGACGAAGAGGCAACGGCGAGTGCCCCTATCCTTCCGAGTCCTAACTGTCCCATTCAATCGGACAGCGCACAGGCGACTATCTACAGGGATCCAGTCTAGGAGCGCTAGTTCTGCCCTACGACTCAATGCTATACCCACACCAGCGAGACCCCGGTAAGCAGTATCAGGGCTTCGAGAAACCCGAAGCGTAAACCTTGTTGTGTCTCTATCTGCATATCGATCGCCCGGGATTCCAGAGTTCTAGCTAAAGAAGCCTGTGACCCTATTTGCCTTAGGGTCGGAACAATAAAAGCTTCTATATGTAATTTAGTACGGGGTTTTAAGAGACTAGGAATAATGTTACGAGAGCTCGTACCGTCTGCTTAAGTGGTGTGATGTGATAAACGATCGAAAGAAAGGTTGGTCGAGGAGATAAGAGTTATCAAGAGTTGTGAAAAGGATTTGATTGTGACCAGTTTGGTCTCGTGTACTTTCATGTGTATGATGGCGGATGTCACTGTTCTGTGGATTAGAGGTTTATTTGTTACTTAAATGATTCGACTTACGATCAATTAAATCGGGGGCCCGAGCTCTACTCACTGACTGTAGTAATACTAGCTCCCTCACAAAGACCAAATTAAACCCTAACATGTACCTTGTAAATGAGTTACATAAATACAAAACTCCAAACTTATTATTGTATTTTAAAAGTGGATGGTTCGATCGTCAAGTTGTCATTGTTTCTTCTAGACAACACCATCAAATTTTGGTAAAAGTTGTTACGAGCCGTTAGAATTTCATCACGACTGACTAACAGCTTGTTCTGTTGACCCAGGATTTGGTTAGTTGTTGTCCCTATATTGCTGGGCGCTCTCACCCTTGACCTCGTCTCTGACCTTGGAGTTGATTATCTTATTTTTGCTGACTGGTAGACTAGATCTTTGTCGATATATTTCTGTTGATTGATGCGTAACTTCAGTGTCACGCTTCCAAAAATTCTGATTTCAGTTTTACTTCCTCAGTCCAATTCCTATCCTTATATTATCCATCTGCATTAATGCAGGTCAAACTATATTGCGGCGTTTTATTACGAGTTAGTGTTAATGTAGATAGAAAGGATTGCCATTTTGTCCTATCTACTCGACAACAGTCGAGGCATTCCAACGTTAATCATCAGAGGAATGTGAATGTACTGACCCCGCAAACGAGCTAAAAGTTTTCTTTTAACAGTTTTTACAAATTTATTTGTCATCGCCTAAATCACAAACTGGTCTTAGCTAGAGCACCGTTGAATACGGGGTAGCACTGGGCAGCAGTTTCAGTGGTGCATATTCTCGATCCCGCATCCAGGAGTTGGGCGCAGAAACCTCGGTATCAACCAAGGACTCTAGATCACTGTCCTAGGATCTAATTGTGTACAAATCTACCTTCAATTAATTCGTGGCATTGCTCAACCTCTATTCATTGCTTTCGGTGAATGATTGGCTTACATCCAACGTTGCTGTACTCTATTGGTCATGGCATTTCACTTGAACTTTAGGAATTGGATTTTGAAAGTAATTACTTCTGAGCACATGCTTATTAACAGTGTAGGATTTGTGAAGTTTACGAGATTTTCGTAATATTTAAATCACCATATTGTGTAAACCATGTAATGTGGATGTGCACTACTGAGGAGTCCCGTACTAGAACTAGATAACCGTCTAATGCTTCTAGGTTTTCAGTGGTAGTCTAGCTAAGACCAGTTCGTTATTTAAACTATGAAAATTCCATCATCTTTACCAATTTCCCCATACTAAAAATTAGTTTGTGTTGGTCAATCCCATATTCTTACTGGTGAATAAATTATAGTTGCAGATAGACCCATGTTATACCTGAGACATTTCTTGAAAGCAAATATTTTTTTCCTGTTCACAACTAGGTAACAATCATTAGCAGTGTTTCTGATTATGCCGATTATATGCGTACATTGTTCGATTTTGATGCTATTAAGACGCTACTGACTGGTTCACATGGTGGTGAACCATTTAAATTGCTGGTCAGTGGTCTCAATGGAGGTAACAAAATTTGTTTATTATTATTATTATTGCTATTATTATTGTTCTTTGAAGACATCCATCGCTACTGAAACCATTGAAAAATGTCTTGTTTTGGTTGTCCAAAGTAACCATGGAAGCTTTTCACATTCGAACGATCTGACTGAGCGCTTGTGAGATTCGTTGTCACTTTACATACAATTTCAAATTGGATGAAATCCGGAAGATTGTGATCCTAAATAGAATACCAGTGCCGTAGACCTTTAATAATCTATGCATTCATCGTATTGAGCTTTATATATATAAATATATGTATATAAACATTTCGATATTGAGAAAAAAAAAGAGTGTTTGATCCCATTCACATCAAGTTGGACTGCATATCTTGCTATCTTATGCCATACTATGTGTATACCATTTGCTATACTGCTATATAGAGCTGAAGGTTTCCTATGAGAACAGAGGTTCTCTGTGAACATTGGGGATAGCTTGACATTGCTTTGGCAAGTATTGCTAACAGTTCATGTACAAAATTGGTTTGCAGGGTAGCCGATTTCATTGATACTGGTGGTTGTCTTGCAACATTCCCGAGGGCCATTGTCATTGGGCTGCTGTATCGAATATCACCATTGTTAATAATAATGAGTTTGACAGTCATGTAAGTGGGATGGGTCAACCTGTGCATATTGATTGTAGCGATCATAGATCGGGAATAATCACTATATATGTACTAGTGTATATAAATTATGCGAATGGTCCACCAAGATGTCAGGTACCTGTGTGGTTGCACCACAGGATTGAGCCGATCTGTTCAAGTTGAAATGTTAACATGTGAGCAGTCTCCTTGGTTGTCCTAAAGACCTTTGCCTATAAAGGGTTATTTCATATATAAAAAAATTAGTTATATATATATATATATATACATGTATGTATGACTAGTCCCCAAAAAGTAAAACCATTTTTCGTCAAGAGAATTTTGATTTGCACAACGCGACCTCAGTTGATAACTTCTCTGTACTGTCCACATTTCTCTCTTGAAAAATAGGTCCAGTTGAAAGTATTAAGGTGGACACATACGTATCTACTATTTTGTTTTGGATGAAGTTACTACATTAACTATTAATGACTAACATTAATGTTTCAATAGTTCTTTCTTTATTTTCACTATCCACGCACATATATATATATATATATATATATATATATATATATATATATGTATATAGTTATGGGACCTTATATTCATGAGATATTATGCAGTCAACTTGGATTAAATTCGAAATTAGCTATCAAATCTCAACCGTTAGAAGATTTTGGCGGTGGTCATCCTGATCCAAATTTGACTTATGCAGCAGATCTTGTTCAAATGGTAATTAGTGACTCATCGATTGCAATGGCAGCCGCTTTCGATGGTGATGGTGATCGAAATATGTTGATTGGTCGACATGGATTTTTTGTATCACCATGTGATTCATTAGCTGTGATTGCAGATAATACTGATTGTATTAAATATTTCCAAGAGAACGGTGTTCATGGATTTGCACGAAGTATGCCTACTAGTAGGGCATTAAATCTGTAAGTTTTCCTTATTTTTTGCCTGTATGAGTGTGCTATGTGAACTGTTTGAAACGAACTTTCTAAGTTTGTTGGGGAACCTGAGCGCGAATATCAACACCTAGGAACATTCAACTGACGTGTCTTAAGTGGCCTAAAACAGACTTCCTTGAAGTCATGAGTCATTCAATATTAGACCACCATTAGAAACCTGGAAGCACCTCATTCATTGTCTTCGGTCTCTCAATATCATAGATAGATTGAAATTAGACCTTAACACCGTTGGATTCCGGCGCATTGGTTTAGAGGTTAAACGTCCGCTTGCGGGACCCGAGATCCTAGGTTCAATTCCTGCGTACAGGGGCCGTGAATTTACATTACTGATGAGTTTCACATTAGGACAAAATGGCCGGCTAGTGCTTCCACATTTCTAATGATGGCCTAGGATTGATCTATTGGTCATTTGTGATCTTAAATATAAAAAACGTGAAACGATAAAACCTTCACATTCGGCGGAAAATTTCGTGATTATCTGGACTCGCGAGATCAGTGTCACGTGGTTGTAATCGGTCGTCAGCAAGATCGTTAATACTCATAGATCATCGGTTTCCTGCCGACTACCGTCAACTACGTAACAGCATAAAATAGTACATAGACCGGTGACCACATTATAACTTGTTCAATAGAATAACACTTGTTTCAAGTCTCAACACTATCATACAGATACATTCACCTAGTAAATCTCACTTAGAATGTAGTTCATATTCTGAACTTCTACTGTTGATCAATATTCAAAACGCAAATCGTTTAGTGTACTATTTTTTATCGTTTAAATTCTCTATGTATTAATAAAAGTCAATTGTAAATCATCGTATCATTCGACTGCATTATTTTATAGTGTATGTAAAAGTAAATCGATGCAATGTTATGAAGTTCCGACAGGATGGAAATTTTTCGGTAATTTAATGGATGCTAAATTATGCTCGTTATGTGGTGAAGAAAGTTTTGGCACTGGGTCCGATCATATACGTGAAAAAGATGGTTTATGGGCATTACTTGCATGGTTATCTATTTTGGCTAAACGTAATCAAACTGGTTTACCAGTTAATGTCGAATCAATTGTAACGGAACATTGGAAGAAATATGGAAGATATTTTTTCACTAGGTAAGTTATTTTCAATATCCTCGTTGTCATCGTAGTAGTAGAAGTAATAGTGGTGGTGGTAGTAGTACATTGTGACATCTCTTTTCTTAGTATTTTCACAATAATTTTTTTCCCTCAAATTATATCTCAATAGTAATAACTGCTATAATCAATAAATTATTTGGTTTATGAGGTAGCTTTTTTTAATAAAGTTCTTTTTTACAATTTGAGTTTTCTAAACGCATCTCAACTTTTCTCATTTACCCAGGACATGGAACTAGTAGTGACCCTAGAAGCGTCCTTGGCGTAGTTTGTTTGAGTAAGTTGGAAGAAACTTTGGGGCAATCATATCAGGAAAGTCTCTCAGCACATAAAGCTATTGACCACAATATATCCATATAGATAAGTCCAAATTTGTAAAACTAACATAACTAGTAGTTAAAATAAGTTGCCTGATATGTATCAGAACTGATCACAATGGTGCAAATGAACTTATTCCCTTGTCTTGCATTAGATCTTGAGTTTTACTTTTCATGCCACAATTCGCTTAATTCTCAAATCGTACTGTCTACATCTAGTCTTTTCTACCACTGATGATACTGCTATTACTTCTACAACTCGGGAATTCATCTTGATAATTCTATATCTCTGTGGTGATCTATTGCTTGTAACTCAAACTAATGCATACCTGTACCAAGTCTTACATTGCTTGTGACTTCTGGCAAGTAGTATTGTGGTGGATACTACGCGCAGCATAACTTATATGTACTACGTAGCGGAGTGTCACACAGAAGTTATCACCTGAGAGAAGTATCAGGTAATACATAGCGCAATCAAAACATTTCGAAGATCTGAAGACATATGAAAGAAAACAGACAGTTGTCTGATTGTATTGCAAATGAATGTTCAAAGATTAGGTGTACGTATTTTGTTAATAAACTGTCTTCTCCAATTATATTACTATTCCATTTAGTCTTCGTTCTTTACAGTAGTATCACCAGACCTTGCATATACTATATATATCGGAAACCGAGTACATATAAACTCTTATATAATGAGGAGGGAACACATTAAAATCTATTTATTAATTGCTCATTTTATTAAATTACTGGAATGATTGTCCTGGTTGCCGAAGTAACGATAATTTTTCTGCCTCTATGTACACTAACCAAATAGTCAAGCTTCAAGCATTAGCTAACTGATCGGTCATAATATGTTAAGAAAACTAAACCTTTTCTTTGTATACTATCAATACTCAATAAAAATACTGGCTCAATGGTCTAGACTTTAAGTGATCGACAAAATAAAGAAGGTCCTAGAATCGATCTCAGGTGGGATCATGGATCATCACTGCCACTGTGGAATCCCATACTAGAACAAAACAGTCATCCAGTGCTACTTGGTTTTCAGTGGTTTCTAAGTTTAGTCCGTGATACAAAATTTGAATAGCTGATATGACTTGTCAGATACTTTCGTTGTCTTTATCCTAAAGATTACTTGATTACCAAAAGTCCCACAAATCTGACTTAAAACACCAATTATGTTGTTGAGTATCACATCTAAAGTTCATTGTACCACTCATAGCTATTACTAAAGTTGGATAGTGGCTAACAATGAAATTTAGGATAGGCGTTTCGTCCTATTTGGGACTCATAAGCTAAATATATCTGTACCTCAGTGTTGATGTTCAAATCGAGTAACTCAAACTTATCACCTTTAACTTGGAAAACTTAACGCGTTATTCATCTAGCATCTTAGCCCAGATAGTCAATAATTTGTACAATGAAAATGAATTGAATTTTCAAATGTTTCTACCTTCTGGCTGATATTATTGAAAACCTACATTAATCATTTACTTTTGTTATATATGCATTCTGAACAAATTACCTCGTTATTGTTTAGTATGTATATATACGAAAAGTGTTTAATATCAACTGGAATAATTTCTAGAAATTCAATTTATATTTTTGCCACAATAAAAAATCTTACATGATTATCTACATCGTATTTCTTTCAAGTATGTCTTTTCTTTGACTAAACACTAATGAACATGTTCATTGTCAATGCTGGATGATTTTATTGATTGGTCTGTTCAGTATTTTCATCAACCCATCCCCTTTTATTTAAATAAGATTGTTTTTTTAATCATTGTCCTTATGATTAACTGAATTCACTTATCCATTGAATAGAACGGATTTTCATTCACATAATAATAATAACGACCTTATTTATTCAGTAAGAAAAAGAACTTTATTTATTCACAGGTGACTGTTTATATAATCATACTGATATAGGCCAATTTCCTTCTCTGTTTTACATATATACAATTATATATATATATATATATATATATATATATATATATATATATATATCAGATTCCATCCGAATCATTGTTTACAATAGATAATTCGAATATTATTATACACTATAGGTTTAGTCTGTGTTTTGTTCTCCCAATTGTATACAACTACATTGCTGAAAAAATTATTCACTGAGAGAGAGAGAGTTGGAATTGTCCGCAATCTTTTCAATTTTCAGTAAACTTTTCGTAGCGCCCGGTCCAGCTGGGTAAGCCCGTCTTGCCGCCCATGCCGATTGGGGATTTCGGGTAGTGGATTGGTGGAGGGATCTTGTTGATTCATAAGTGCCCGAACGGGAGCCACTGTTCGTGTGCGCGCTGTTTGTACGTCCGACTTGCTTGCGGGCCAAACTGGACAACATGTACGTTCCCTATTGGGGCAGAAGTGATCACTAAAGCGGCTACAGTGAGAATCCTTGTGTTGCCTAAAAAGCAGCGATGTGCATGTGCAGAAGGCTTGTCGGTTAACCAAGATTTAGATTATATTCAAATACTGTCGAATAAATAAGCTTATTGGTTCATCCAACAGATTAAATAACACAAAAAAACGTTAGATCCCCAGAACTCACTTGGGAAGGGTCCTAATTTTGGATTTTTTTATGTTTTCGCGCCAAAGACGCTTAGTTGACCTTTAGCTTATATTTCCCTCTTGGAAAACCATTGACTGTCATTGGTTGATGGATTATTTTAGTACGTTATTTTGTGGCTCTCCCAAGGGCGTTGCTATCATTGTATAAAAAAGCTTGATTTGTGTGCTTAGCAACCTCATATCTTCTGGGTGCTTGTAGAATACAATCTCTACTCCTTATCAAGACTTCTTGCTATAGTTAGCCGGATTAGAATAGCCTATCGTGTCACTGAGTCATTGTTTCCGTTCGTCTACCGAGTAAGGTGAACTCGTATTGGTTTCAAACATATCAATCGACGAGCATATCGTCGTTGTATCTAGCATTTTCGGTTATTTCTTACCGTTTATTTAGCGGTTGTATTCTACTTATTTGGAGCGTAATTTCCACCGACGATATCATATCAAAAGTTTACAGTTATCTTCAACTTCTTTCTATGAACATGTTAATTCAACACAGCCCAATATATCGAATGAAAAACACAAATCTAGTAGAATTTCGTGCTTAAATTGAGATTTGTTATAAAAATCGCATGTATCAAATAAACAAAATGTAATAAAACTTATTGAATATGAAAAACGTTGTGACTAATGTCAACCATAATGAAGAATCTTAATTCTTAACTCATCCATCCAAACTGTACTCTACATCTAGAATGTTTCAAATAATAGATAAAATCACTGACTAACTGGAACACTTTATATCAATGTTTGTTGGTATATTTCACTATCATTATATCTCCTATCAACAAACTGTGAGCGAAACTTGACTTTCCGTGAAAAATGTTTATGACAGATGATGAGTTTTAATTGTTGCTATTCAGTTTTTCATGTCGTATACTTAGTGCCAGTTCAGATCTGCGATTTAAATGTTAGTTGAATGATAAAATAATTAATCTACACCGTCTGTCAAATAAGTACGCGAACTAGTTTTAACGAATTTCTGGGTGCCCTTCAAAGTACTTCCTTTTTATCCCAATACATTTGTACTATTTCCGCTCTCTATTATCCAAAATATCCACACTGAGAATCTTTAGCAGTCACTATTCTTCATTGAACATTCTATGTTGTCTTCACGTCTTTCCCGTGATCATCGCCCTCACATCACGAGGAAATCTCTAGGGACTCAAATGTTAGCGGCTAAGTAAAAACAACAATGTCAGATTGATTTAAGGTAATGGGCGCTCAAGTGCAACCCTAGTAACTCGGTTTTTTCACTAATTAAACAAACTGTCTTATCTTCTGGTAGACTGCCGTCAGAGATATGAATAAGGCCGTCACTTCACGATCGCTCATATCATGTAATGATACTTTCACGTGCGAGGTCTAGAACAAAGCGGATTAGGGTTTGTCATAGTCTGGAAATGTGACTTCAGAGCCCAAAGCATAACTGTCTATGGACAGTCAACCACTACGATTTTGTGTGCTAGCTCAGTATTGTGTTGCGTCCAATATGGCTTGACTGAGTCATCACGATGTCCACTGCCGACTTCGCTGTCAAGGAATCTGTAAATGGTGGAGATTGTAAACAACAAAGTGTAAGTATAATAAGTACAACAGTAGTTAATTGGTTAGTCGGAAGATCATAATAAAAGATATATATAGTAATGTAGTTGCTGAATAATTGTTCTGTGAGGTATATCCAATAATAATCGATAAATCAGTCCTGAAAGTTACCATTCCTCTAATCTTCCCGATTTAGCAACCTTCAAATCTTTAATTCTATCAACAAATTCAAAATTATCTTTAACATTTTACTGAATGACTTCTGTGTATAGTATCTTTAGAAGTTCAAATAGCTAATTCGTAGTTGCGTGGTAAGATGAAGTGACTATATCTTATACTGGGTGCAGTGATAGGTCAGCTATAAGTAATTTGGCTAGACCATAAAATCTAGGTGTCACTGTACCCGTGTGTGTGTATTGTATATAAGTCCTTCCAGATTGCACTGACTTGTTTCAGGCTATTAAATAATTTAGAGTCAGCTGTCGTTCACTCTTTTATGTGAGGTCCTTTGTATTGGAAATTCATCCAATATCCTAAGAGAATTATTGTTCAATTCCTATCGGTTAATTCCTACTGGTCAATTTTATGGTCTTCCTATCAATGTCACGTGCTCCAATGTTGTTTCTTGTTCGTTGACCCGACTATCGATGTCACTTCAAATGTTGCTTCCTATTGGTCGTCTTAACTGTCAATGTCACAGACTTCGATGCTGTTTCCTATTCGACCGAAATGTATAAATACGCATTATCTGTAACGTTTTATGACCAGGACCCGGATCCCTAGTCTGGGATCCTGTTTCTCTTCTGGATTCGGACCTCGTACTTTCTGGATGTTTGTAAAATACAGATTCTATTTCATATCATGTCTTCTTATTTTCACTGAATGTGAGGGTTAGGATAATCGGATTTGAGTAGCATGTCGTGTCACCGGATCCTCGATCCTCGCTCTCGTTTTCCCACTAGGTAAACTCGTAATAGTTCAAGTATATCAAGTTGACGTGTTTACGTGCAGGCGTAACAGTTAGTTTATGAAATTTGCTAGGATCATCGAGAACTGTGTTCATTTTTTCTGTGTAAACGTGTATTTTTCAGAGAATCTTTGCTCCTTTTACTCAGAATAATTCATCAACATTAATTATGTAAAACATTAAGTTGAAATGTTAAGTCATGTATCAATCATCCAGAAGATGACCTTGATTAATTTCTTCTTTTTTATGATTTATTTTATCTGTGTGTTAAGATATGATTATGAAAATTGTGAATCAATTCAAGGTGACGAAATTATGAATCGATTAAAGAAATTAATTGATAACAATGAAATATCAGGTCATGTGTATACTACTGTTAATGGACAACAGTTTATTGGTGATTTTTGTGATAATTTTTCATATGTGGATCCAGTCGATGGAAGTCACACAACAAATCAAGTATGTGAAAAATGATCATTCAACTAATAGATAATCGTATGATTTTAGATTTAACTCTTTCGGCATTAATCTCCTAATATAGAGAGTGATAATGACCAGATGCAGTGAAAGTGATTGTCTGTAGTCAAGTGAGCGAGCAATGCCTTTGCTGTTAAACTGCTGAAATTCTAAAAAATACGTCTCTGGTCCGAACCTCGTTATCTGTGTTTCTTCACTAGCCGTCACACATAGAACATAGTGCCTAAAACTGTACTTCGTAAACATGAACTCCAACATCCAGTAGATATGAATATATTGTTGTGAAAAACGATCTGATTACCTCAATAGTAACTTCTCAGACTGAGACACTAGGTTATACCTGTTCAAATCCTACATGGTTCATTGTTTCGCTCAGGTATGATTGTCATACGGTAGTGTAGTAGTTATCTGATTAACTTATTACATTTCAATCAATCGGTATCAAGTACAGACCATCATCATCTATCTACTTTACTCTGGGTAACCGGTTGTCGTTACCAACTATCACACAAACAATGTAATTTAAAGCCAGGTCCATGAGGTTTTGTGCTGATTAATCATTACTAGGTAGTGTCCAGTGTCATGTTTGTCCATACCTATTGTTGCTGATTGAATTCTATCGGGGAAATTGTATGTTGATCACTAGTATAAGTGATTTGACTTCATATTCAGTGTATTTTGGTTCTTATAAGCTGAGAGTTGGGTTAAAAGGGAATTCTACTTGAGATAGGTTTCGTGCTATTTGTGACTCATCAGCTATGCTGCTCTGTGTGGAGTCCGAATCGCGTGATCCATCCTCATAGTATGGATATCCTACTTTTGTTCGGACCGTAACTGACTTATGCGATTGGAAGATACGTAGAGTGATTGATCACTGACTAATATCATTTTTATTTAGTCCTTGTTGTTGATTGAATCCTATGGGTCAAGTTCTAATCGCGCAAAAAGTATAAGTTTCTTCAAAATTACAGATGAGCCTTAATCATAAGTGCCAACTAGCAGGAAACCTAAGTCAAACAAGGTATCTTGCTGAATACCTCGAACCATTTAATCAAAAATTTGTGTTAGATTTCATAGTTTGACTTAAATTGTAAAATATGCATACAATTCAGTCTTTTTAATTCACTAATTCAACTTGTATCTCATCATCCTCACATTAACAGTAACATCTAATAGTTTTGACAAATGAATATTTGGTGAATTTTATACCATCGGTTGTCATTAACGTTCTATAAGATTTTCTTGAATTCTATAAATTTATGGACAATAAATAATTTACTGTGTCTTTTATTATCATCTTGCTATTTCATAATTCAATGCTTTTTATTCCTTCCTTCCTTCCTTACTTACTTATGCCTGTTACCCCCAATGCAACATAGGCCGCCCACCAGTTTTCTCCAACCAACTCTGTCCTGGGCTTCCCTCTCCAGTTCTGTCCAATGTTTGTTGATTCCTCTCATATCCTTCTCTATTTCTCGGCGTAATGTGTTCCTTGGCCTTCCTCTGTTCCTTTTGCCTTGAGGGTTCCATGTGAGGCCTTGTCTCGTGATGCAGTTAGGTGATTTTCGTAGTGTGTGTCCTATCCACTTCCACCGCTTCTTCCTGATTTCTTCCTCCACTGCAATCTGGTTTGTTCTCTCCCACAGTAAGTTGTTGTTGATGGTGTCTGGCCAACGAATCCGAAGTATTTTGCGCAGACAACTGTTCATAAACACTTGTTTCTTCTGGATGATGCCTTTCGTAGTTCTCCAAGTTTCCGCTCCATACAGTAGATTTGTCTTGACATTTGTATTGAAAATCCTGATTTTGACTTTGGTTGAAAGTTGTTTGGAGTTGCAGATATTTTTCAACTGTAGAAATGCAGCCCTTGCTTTGCCAATCCGTGCCCTCATATCTGCATAGGATCCACCTTGATTGTGGATGATGCTGCCAAGATATGTAAAGGTGTTAACGTCCTCCAAGAAATCTCAATCAAGTGATTCGGTTGATGCATGTTGTGTTGCATCGGAGAATTTAGCTTTTCCCTTTATGTATGTTGAGACCTACTGCTGCAGAGGCTGCTGCTACACTGGTCGTCTTCTCTTGCATTTGTTGTTGCGTGTGCGATAGAAGAGCCAAGTCATCTGCGAAGTCCAGATCGTCCAGCTGCGTCCTAACTGTCCACTGAATACCGTGCTTCCCTTCAGATGTTGACGTCTTCATAATCCAGTCGATCACCAGGAGAAAGAGAAAGAGTGAGAGTAAGCAACCTTGCCTGACACCGGTCTTCACCTCGAAAGAGTCTGTTAGCTATCCTCCGTACACGATTTTGCAGTTGAATCCATCATAAGAATTACGTATGATGTTAACTATTTTCTCAGGCACACCATAGTGTCGAAGAAGCCTCCACAGTGTTTTCCTGTCCACGCTATCGAATGCTTTCGCGTAGTCGATGAAGTTGATGTAGAGTGGTGAGTTCCATTCAATTGATTGTTCCACAATGATCCGTAATGTAGCAATTTGGTCAGTACACGATCGATCCTTACGAAATCCGGTCTGTTGATCTCGAAGTTGGGCGTCTACGAAGTCCTTCATTCTGTTTAACAATACCCTGTTGAAAACTTTGCCTGGTATTGAAAGTGAAATCCATGTGGCTTTGTGAATGCGTTCGTGTGGGAATATTGTGTCACCGATGACCAGTTTGTTGAAGGCACATAGGTTTGCAAATCTCTCACCGTTTTCGTTCCTTCCTCCCAGTCCATATCGTCCCATGATGTCTTCATATCCAGTGTTGTCCATTCCAACCTTGGCATCCAGTTCTCCCATAAGAACATTTCTCGACGATTCACTGCAGCCTTTCGTAAAATTGATCTTAAACGTCGTCATTGTAGCCATTGGTAGGTGCATAACATTGGATGACGTTCATTGTAATGTCCTCTTTCTTTGTTTTGAAGGATGCTTTAATGATCCTGGGTCCATGAGATTCCCATCCTATCAGTGCGTTTTGTGCATGTTTGGACAGCATCAATGCAACTCCTTGTGTATGTGAAGCGTTTTCCTCTTCATGACCAGAGTATAACTGCAGTTCCCCTGAAGCTAGTCTCAGTTGTCCTACCTGTGTCCAATGTGTTTCACTGATGCCGAGCACCTTGGGGTTGTATCTTTTCATTTCTGCCGCAACTTGAAATAGTCTTCCAGTCTCCCACAATGTACGAACGTTCCATGCACCTAAAAAAATGGGTGCTCTGGTTGTCAGAAGAGGCATCGGCCCCGTGACTTCCGAGGGAACTCGGCTTTCATCGCGTGACGTCATAATTCTTCTTCCAACTCCCAAGGCAGAGTTAAAATGGTTTGAATTATTTTTTCTGGTTAGCGTTAGGGTTAGGGTTTGAATTATTTTTTCTGGTTAGCGTTTTTTTGGCAAGTTAGATTTGGACGGAATGGGGTGGCCAACCCCATGTCCAACCCTCCTCATTTTATCCGGGTAGTGACCGACAGTAGCCCCTAAAGTTCTACTGGCGGAGTTTTTATTCAATCCAATCCAATCCAAATATACTTGTATCCTACAACTCTCATGTCATATTCAATTTGATTAAATCATTTCTTAATTGATCATGTTTACTGGATTCCATGGTCTATTTCCTGGATTTTCATCCTAGAATAATACTATCCGATTGACCGAACCGAGGTAGATGGAGCGGAATTCGAACTTGGGACTTGGACGACTGGAGATCAAGCCCCTTATAAAACTACTAATCTACCGCTCTTTTTATGTACTGTGGTTATCTAGCTTTTTTTCTATTATTTACTTATTTCTATATTGTTAATCAAACAAACATAATCTTATATGCATGTTTCATGAGTTTCATAGTCTTACTGTCGTTTTCTCGTTTTTGTTTCTTTGCGAACAAAGGGTTTTCGATTATTTTTTAAAGATGGAACTCGATTTGTGTATCGTCTAAGTGGTACAGGCAGTAGTGGTGCAACACTTCGAGTATATGTTGACACTTATGAAGCAGATCCAGCTAAGCATATAATCGCTTCACAGGTTAGCCTTTTATATTCTCCTTAACTATATATATATATATATATATATATACTCCCATAGTTTATCACGAAGAATTGATTTTGTCATTCAACTATTAAAAACTAGAAAGCAGTAAACAGTATGAGACTCCTTAATGTCAGTGCACATTCACGACCTCACTCCTTTTCTAATCATGGTTATTTAACGACAGAGACTAATTTGCATGAATGAATCTGCTTAGCGAAGACCAGGTTATGTAGTTTTTGTTATTACATGTTAGTTTGTTCTTCAAAGGAAAACCTCAGTGATATTTCCTTTTAATTTATATTTCCATTTTCATGTCTGCTGTCACTACCTGATTAGTTTCCACCGCCTTCATATTATGTTTTCCAAAGTGGTTGACTATTACTGTGTCAACTGAGTTGTTTATTTTCATGTTTTGTTAGTTAGTTAGTTACAACGTAGAACTTCGTACGTAAGTACATCCGTTCAAGTTGCCATACCACATTAGCACAGAGATATAATTGTCAGTTTAAATCCCATAGTGGTAGAGATAGTTGAGGTATTACTGGTAATTGAGAAGGTTAGGGTTCGAAGATATTGTTCAAGAATTATAATTCAGTGAGGTAAATATAGAAAGAGAAAGATAGAAGTGATGAGGAATTCAGAAGGTAACAATTTCATAGAACATAGAGTAAATGCACCTGCTCCATTGCAAACGGTTATGAGCGATGTCATTCAGGGTCTCCAACCATCGATTATTATCATCTCGCGGACCCCAACCAAGAAGTCGACACCTACCAACATAACAGTCCACTTGTAAGTGACTTCATAGATTTCTGCCATGTTTTGGTCTGGCCGCCCCTAGCTTTCTTCCTACACCACAAAACATAGCTCGTCGAGGCAGTTGGTGGTTGGGCATACATAGCACATGTTATTGTGTAACATACATCCCGTCTATTCAAGTTTCTATTCATTAAATTGTGTCAGAAGAAGTTTCAATCATTCATAAATAAAATTTATCATAGATCAACCAGTAACCTCGACTGACAGTCTTTTTATTCAACAGAATCATTAACAATGCTGAATGTTTATGTGTGCAAAAATATTGTTGGGGACGTTAGATCCCTAGATCTCGCTTGATAAATGCCTTAATTTTGGATTTCATGTTTGTGAACATGGGCTGATCAGTCGACCTCAATATTTTTTTTCCCACTAGGAAAACCCTTGATTATGATTGGCTACTGTGTATTTTAGTGAGCTATTTTTGTGACTGTCCGAAGGACGCTTCTATGATGTATAAATAATCGAGATTTGTGTGCTTGATTGCATTGTGCTTGCTGGGTGTTTGTAGAATACACTTTCTACGCTATATCAAGACTTCTCGTTAGCTGTTTGGAGTCAACGGATCAGAGTAGCCTACCTGGACGCTGGTTCATTGTCTCGTTCTCGTTTATCGACTAAGGTGAACCCGTAATATTTTCAAGCATACCTAGTGACAAACCTAGCAAATGTAATAATATAGTGAAATGGAGTAATGCAGCAATTAATTATTATTGTTATTATTATTATTATCACTAATCGTAACGTCGTTAATCACTGATGATTGTATAGTTAGAATGAAATCAGTGATAATTATGTAAGAGATAAAAATTGAGTATGTATTATTTGATATTGTATTGTGACATTTATTATCAACATTCTTGTTTTCAAACTGTAAACTCTTAGTTGTAATAATCTCTTCGTTTCTTTTCTCATATATTCATGATCTTACTTTATATTATTGATGTAACATTTGATTTATGAATATACAAACGAGCTACTATTCATTATTTTCACCTATCTATGTACATTCAGTTAAACAAGATCAAACTCATGTGTACAATTAAAAATGACAGTGAATGTCTTAGTCGTATTCTATATGCACATTCTTCTGACAAACAAAAGTTGATCATTGTTACTTTCTAATCATCCGCAATTGATTTGTTTCTTTTTTTAAAAGAAATCAAGTATACACTCATTCTTTAGTAAGCTTGTCCTAGGACGTTTTAATGAACCGATGAATATGAATGTAAAGCTTAACTCTCTTTTATTACGCATTACCGATAGGTTGAATCAAGGATACTAGTACTATTTATCTACAAAGATACACAGTACTACGTAATCAACATCCATTATTGACTCATTATCAGTCAGTTGACCATTGTTTCACTTCATCTGAACTACAACTCTTTGAAAAAAGTTGTTTATCAGCCATGCTAAGTACTTTGTTGTACCTTGTTGTTAAAGTGTTTACTTTGTTAGTTTCATACAATTCTTGTAAATAATGTTTATTAATGTTGTTTATTCACTATATTTAATAATAATAATAATAATAATAATAAGATGGAATGCATTCTGTAATTATTTTCATTTTATTTCTTATTTTTTCAAAAAACAACAGGAATATTTGAAATCGCATATTGAATTAGCGTTGAAATTATGTGGTGTAATTGAAATCACTGGTCGAACAGCTCCAACTGTCATCACATAAATATTCTTGGCCGAAAAAAGTGGTGCAGTTTTTCCACCCTAACCCTTTTGATGATTGTGATGATTTACTAGACCATAACCACTAATGATTATGATTTTTAGTCTTTTGAACCTAGAACTGAATCTGATCATGATAATTAAATAATATGCCGATCCCCCTCCCACCAATCAATATTATTATTATTATTATAAATGCTCTGTAAGTGAATGTTTTTTAAGTTCTGTTCAATCGTGTGGATAAATCATTATCATCCCAGATCTATCGCTGCCACCATCATCGTCTTCCCTAGTAGTAATATTTAGATGGTAGAATCCATGATGCGTTTTCTTATTGTTTGAATTATTTTTTCTTTTCATTATGTTTATCTTCGCTGATCTGACGACTATTTAAAACTGATCATCACAATCATTTTTATTGAATCATTCGTTTATTTACATTCATGTTTATTTTTTGTCGAAATTATTATATTGGTAGTCTCTTTTCTTTTGATTTTCTCATCCTCTAGTCTTGTTTTTATTTTATAAAATACTGCATTTTCCCCGAATTCGAATATTGAATTTGATTTGCTTTAGTAGATTTTATATATATATATATATATATATATATATATATATATATAAACTGATTACTCGCTTGCTTACTTAAAAAAAATACCACATGGTAAGACGAACAGTCTTTTTGGGTTAATAAATAATTCAATGATATTTTTCGTAGACATCATTATTGTTTCAAATGGTAGGAGGCTTCACGCCAGCAAACCTGATCTGTAGTTTTTTGTGCGAACAAAAATGTCTTCCCTGTGCATTTCGATATTATACATTACTCAATGTCGAAGATGTTAACAATGAAATATTTAGGTCACTTAAGGATCAATCACCTACTAGTCTGAGACATTTGTGTTTAGTTGTCAACGCTTTATGTTTACATAATCCTTGTTTCTGGTCGAATCTTATTGGACGAAATACAAGTGCGATTTTTTATTAGAAAATCAAGTCTAGTTATTTAGATGACATCATTTACTAATCGGAATTAAAGTTGAAACTTGGTGTATAAAAACTTAGGCGTTTTATATTACCACTAATCGATTTTGAAATTAATCAATCAATTTTCTCATGGCAGTTTTTCTGCAGGAACCCTATTTTTCATTGCTTTTTTCATCATGTTTTGGTAATATATTCCGGATAAACACACTGGTTCACAATAATCTTTTTTTAAAAAAAGTTTCAGTATGGTTACGAATAAGTAGAATGATTATGTAACTTGTTTGCGAAAAATAAAATTCTATTGCTGGAGGCTAACTGATGATACATTTAGGCTTTTTAACCTAATAGAACTAAAGCGAAACACAATTGTGTAACGCTTATTTGTTTCAAAGACAGTATCTTGATTCCTTAACCTCCGTCTAAGTAATCCATCCTACGATTTTTTTTCCTTACAAGGCAAATTTGCTTTTCAAATTTATTGCTTTACTGTTAAAATATCAATTAATACGGACTAGATAATTGACCTAACTAATTGTTTTTTGTTTGCATCGAGGCTCATAAAGATTGATGAATGCTGTTGTGATATCTCATCAATAAATCATCATGTACTTACTATTACTAGTGACTACCTCAAATTATGGAATTCAGTCATGATTCATTGACTAGTGAAGATTAGGCAGATATCATCTATGGGAAGCGGTGATAGTCATGTAATATTATAGATAAATTAATAAGAGTTAGAAATATGATTCTTTGTATGTCAACTCAGTAGCTTCTAGTTCAACCGCTCCATGCGAAACTTGAAAGGTGTTGAATTTTATTTCCTGATTTGATTGTAGATTATCCACTGCTTAGTTCTCTTACATGAAAACAAAATGTTGGTTCAATGTGTCATAGTTTTAAATCGTTGCTTTACTTCAGGTACAACATAATTTGAAATTCTATAATTTAAAAAATAATATACGTTTTGGGAAATAAGTATTTCACTCAGTTTGTGCACTCCAATTAAATATTGAAGTATTTATAATCTAGCAGTTTTGTATACAGTGCTCGAAAATCTAATTGTCTGGAGCATTCTACTTTTAATCGGATGATCAAACCTTATTTTACCTAATTCTATTATCACAATTAGCGAGAGTATCATTGTTCATTGTATGTATAATCAATCATACTAAGTGATTCTATGTTTCAGTGTTTAAAACATTATTGGTTACTGGTTGTAACTGTCTGTAATTTGGTTCAGATAATTAGGTTGTATCAGTAGAACCTTCATGGAAAATGTGTAGCTATTTATATTTTGAAAAATTCTATTCAATACTTTGTATTTTTTTTTCTTCGCTTACATTGTACAATTGTTTTATTCATTATCAAATAAATAAATTCTCGTCATATGTATTGTTCTGATTATTTTTTATTTATTTTTCTAAGTTGAGTGAATCACATGTTGTTGTTGTTTTTTTTAATAGTTATAAAATTTTATTATCTCATGAAAATAAAAAAACAAAGTGTGAATAAGATTAATTAAGTGATCAATAAAATTTGATTATTTAAAAGCGAGTTAAAGTTGTCTAAAGTATCATAGTAATACTTTCATTCACTAGAAGCAACAATGTCTTTACACTGAGTTTATTATAACCATGTAGTTAGTTAGTGAATGAGGGTAACAAACAGTATTAGAAGTTTTTTCTCAATTTCCCTACTGTATTTAAATGAAATTGTTTTGGTTTTAATGATTCCCTCATTTTGATCCGAAATCGTTTGTTTGTATTTATTTTTCAAAAAAAATATAATCATTCATTGAAAAACAGTGTCTTCATCAAATGAGCCGATTTTCATGTGTTTAAACAATATTTCAATTTCATCAAACAGTCTCTGTATAAATTATGTCAGAGTTAACAACTAGTCACATTCATTTGTGCTCGGCCACTGTTGTTATCGATCGTCTAATTGTCTCATAGTTGAACCAGTCAACTTCTAGTCATTATTCAATCGTCAATTGAAATCTAGCTCAATTTCAGTTTGTAAAATCAAATTGTATTTATATTAAATCGGATACAAAAAGTGTGTGGCCTAAAACTAGTTACATAATTGTTGTATAATCAATTCCATTTATTTACATCGGTTAGTATTCCATAGTTGTTTAGCACAAAATGATTGTGGACATTTCAAGCATTTTGTAACTTGTCATATAGTTATCATTTTTTTAATTCATAGTAATCTGTTTATTATATTAAATTATGAATAAGTTCTAACCGATGTGTTGTGCAGTATCCTGTATTAATTCAGATTAACACCGTTTAATACCGGTTCGTTCGCTTGCCAAACTGAATGTCCTAGGTTCGGTCCTCGGATTCGGGCAGAATTTTGGATGTGAGCTTCTGAAGAGTTTCATATTAGGATGAGATTGCTGTCCAGTGCTTCTAAGTTATCAGTGGTAGTCTAACTTAAATCAGTTCATGATGTAAAGTGAAAATTCCACAATCTCTCCTAAAAGTGTTAAGTGATCAAAACTAAGTGACTTGCACTACAATGTCATGATTTTTGACATTTCATTATTTATATATGTATCTATCAATATTAGTCAATTTATAATTGATTTAAGATTTTATAGACTGTTAAACTAGATTTTGATGAAGTCAATCAGTCCGAGATATTGTAGCATATGAGGCCAGTTTACCTATATCACCATAACAAGAGAGGGAATTGCAATTATTAGTATTAAGAGTTTGAATTTTTTTCAACGTCACACCAGTTGAATAAGGTAATAACTATTTGAAATCAGTAGCTCATTGCATAATGGGCTGGCATTTAAAATAAAAACTACCAACTTCTTAGTACTTATGTAAGCATCCAAATCCGGATCCATCTAATTGATTTGTCCTGAATGAATCAATCTGTCCGTCCTTGATCCCATCGTTAGCCACAATCCATCTGTTCTTTCTAAAAGATATCGATAAGTTGAAAAGTTATGAGAAAAAAATATATCGTACTGTTAACTATACAAACTATTTGTGTTATGAAGGTCTTCAGCCATAGATCGCAATCGTTTCATGAATCCCCTCACTATGACACGTCTACACCTTGCGAAGGGACTAATATCGTTTGTTAGTTCTTTAAAAATTTATAATCAGTTGAAAGGCATCTTGATTTTATTTTGCGATTAAAAAACAAGATATGTGTTCTATGAAATTATTGGTTATTTTGTAATATTTTTTCCACTCCTAGTTACCCATTAATTCTCCATATCGTAAACCATCCAAATCTGGTGAAGTTGACATTGATTCAGAACATCGTGCAGTACATTTTACTCAAATGGTTAATGAAGGTCATTTATCTAATAATGATTTGTCAGCTTCAACTAGTTCCAATCCTCATCCATTGAATGTTTCCAGAAAAGTTAGCTTTTCTGATCTACCTTTAATGAGTAATAGTGAAGAACGTCAACTAGACGGTTTACATCAATCTCTGATCAACACTGATGATAAATTCATGTCTGATGAAGATGATGATTCAGGTCATCATATTGAAGTTCACTTATTGAATCCAGATATCGATGAGATGCCAATATTACCACCAGAATTAAAAAATACACCTATATTTGAAGTAAAACTTGGAATGCTTAAACAAGCAACAGTTTATCGGACAGAATTTACAATACCAGATAATTTGAAGTCAGGTGAATTGGAAATTTTACGAACTGTTACAGAAATGGATGGTCATGTTAGTGTACCAGTTAATGTTGGTGCTTCATTTACTTTATTAAGTTGTGAACCAATCCCATCACCTGGTCATGGTAAGATAAATGATTTAGTATTTTGTTTAATTTTTATTCACATGATTTCCTTATCATATTATAATCATTATAAGCAGAATTAAATTGTGTCTACCAGTAGAATCCGCCACTCCCATTTTGTCTTATTTAAGACCTATCAACTGGATATACTTGCAACCAAGAATTAATATTCACTCTGGGACTCGGAACCGGTACCATTCGTTTCAAACAACATCATATCATTCACTTATTTACTTAGTCAAGATAATCAACTGGTTTGTGCAATGAGGTGAATTTTAATTCATTTGTATTGATTATTTGAATCTTCTTATTGATAGGGTTAGGGTTACAGTCGATCAATCTCTTTTGGTATATGTGCATCCTATATTGATGACCTTGATATTATCATTAAGTTACGGATAGATTTTGTTTTCAAATTCTGTTAAGATTTCAATAGTAATGAGCACAATTACTGTTATATGATAAGTCGAATTAGCTTGAATTTCAAAAGAACTGTATATTTCCTTTAGATCTTATATCTGCACATCTAAACTTTTTATTCAATTATTTGAAAACACTGTTTCTAATTGTGTCTGCAAATTGCATGTAATGCTCCAACCTATATCTTTAATCAAAGTAATATACTAGTAATGATACTTAAAATTATTGAATATTAAAAATATGACTTAAAAATGGCAGAATGTAAGAGGTATATATTTAAAAAAAGAAGTAGTGGGTTTAAGGATACGAAAAAAAGATTCATTGTGAAAGTTTCTAAGTAATGATCGCTGTTATCACGTGTACTCAAACCAGATAATCTGTATCTATCAGCATGGCTCAAAACAACAGTCAGTGACGTTTTTGACCTAATGCCATATAGTAGTTTGGCCTCATCTAATTTTCTTCAAACATCGCTCCTCACAGTAACAAGTGATTAGGCTTATGTAACACATTTCGCAACCATCTCAATCGATAATTATCTATGAGTATAAAGCTTATGGTAATTATTTTCATCGTTAATTATTGGATGAAAAAAGTTTATTACACCTTGTTGCTTTGTATAATATTATAATGCTTACTTGATTCCTTATTATTTTCTTTTTATATATAGGCCATATAATAGTGATGGAGATTTCAACGACAAAACAACCTCGTGTTAATGAATTAATCACATTACGTCGAGTTGAAACAATAGCAGATTCTGTTTGCCTACTTTTGCATGGTATTTCTTTAGGTAAGTTTGATTGATTCGCCTTTTTTTTTCTCTCTCTACGGATATCCACATTTATACGTTCAGTGGTTATTGTGTGGATTCCGTAATGTGATGATAATTTTTGTCTTAGATTAAAAAAAATGTTAACAGTCTTTTTATGCAGCCTAGTATTCTTGAACCATTCACTTCACTTGACTAGTTTCCAACATCCCAAAACAAAACAGCAATTTCGGCAACAAAATGCTAGTACACATATATAAACTTTACCCAACAATATCCCAGAATCTCAGCCCATCTATTGGGGCTAAAAAATGGACCAGTCAGCCCATTCTCTAATGTGACTCTGTCTTAATTATGCTTTGATCAAATCTCTTCCCTTCCAACAATAATAATTGAAAAACAGCAAGTACTAAACGGAATGGTTACTCAATATAGTTGAAGGCGTTCTGTATCCCTAGTCTTGAGTAGGAAGAGAAGCTTTTATTACCGATGTATTTCAATAACGCAACCCAACCAGCCGGTAATGATATAAATGCTTATATGGAGGTTGGAAGCTTAAGATCTAAATATGAATAAAGAATAGATGCACCTGTGCATTGTCGAATGGTTTGAGCAATAACCGTAGTCTCCTACTATTGCTTACCGAAATCACGCGCACCCTAACTAGGGAGTCTACATCTAATCTTTACAATACTCATCGGGTCATTACACTTTTATTTCCCTATTCTACCCCAAAATTTATGACCATCTCACAATTTCATACACATAAATTACCTCCATTCAATTTTGTTTTTGTCTAATGATTCTTTATGTTCTACCATCTGGTATTCCATGGGCACTTTATGATATACTAAACTTTTCCCGGATCAGGATAACTATTGAGAGCGAACAACATATGTTTCCTAACAAATTGAAACAGTAAAAATGCAGTGGTAAAAGCATTCAAGTTAATTCTTATTATTAATGTAGGAAATTCCTAACATCTTTAAAAGTTGTTCATTAGCACTGATTAGTTGAAAAATAATCCATCCAATCAGTGTACTCCAATTCGATACTGTAATCAATGATCCAACAGTCCACACAGTTCTGCTGACACAGTTTATTTCTAAAAATGTATCTGTCTTTTTTCTGTAATAAATCAAAACATTTTATGTTTGCTTTTAACATATCAAACAAGCTAAAGGACAAGGCACTCCACTTCTGCGTTCTGGTATACATCGAATTACTGAGAATCAAGATTACATTGATTCAGATGATTACACTGAATGGCCTGGTTATGTGAACATTGAAGATGATGATGTTGATGACGAGGAGGAGGAGGAGGAGGGGAAAGAAAGTGATGTTGGTAATGGCGAGAAAGCCAAAGCTGTTTCTGCGGCAACCGAGAATATCGATGTTGATCAAGGCGCTAATTATGATGAATAATTATCGAGTTTATGTTGTTGTTATTGATTCAGTATTTTTTTTCTCGCTATCTCTCTCCCTCTCTTAAATGTACTTTTTGTATTCTTTCTGAGGTTTTTTTGATGTTTTGTTATTGTTGTTGTTTCTATCTTATTCAATGCATACATAACTCTTTCTCTCTCTCCCTTGTCTGTCTGTAGTCGAGTAATGCCTTTCCATTCGTCTATTGTTTATTTATATATTGTACACAGTGTACATCGCCTCCATCTCTCTCTCTCTATCCGCTTGTCTTATTCGTTTAGTGATTCATTTTCGATTCTCTTTGTAATTCAATACTGTTACTAACAACACTCGCTGTTGTTAAGTATCAATAATTTGTGTGTTACTGTCAGTACACACTTAGACAGCAATGACAGTGCATGGTGAGAAACTTACTTAGATATTTTTCTTTTTCAATACTGTTTTTGTTATATTTTTTCTGATGATAAAAATGATCATGTTTATATCTATATATATTTATTAAAATATTTATTATTAATACTCTACCTCTCTCTCTCTCTCTTTATTTCCCCTTATTTTATTTATTAGTTTTGTTTGAATTTACTTATGTGTAATTTACCGAGTTGTTAGTTAAATTACTGTAAAACTTTCAATTTTATCGTTTTGAACAATGTAAGCTGATAGGATTAACATTTTCAAACCAACTACATCAAAAAGAAAGAAAGAAATGTATCACTCTCTTATCGATTTATTAATGCCCCTGATAGATTGCTAAGTGTATATGATACACTTTTTTTTTCGCTAAAATAACAAACACTACATTTTAATGTGTTGTCACAATAGGATATATATATATAGTATTCAAACATAATGATGTACAATTGGCCGATTTAATCAATATTACTCGTATATCATTAATTCGTAATAATGATATTTATTATTACTATTATTATGTTGTATAGTAATCTACTCTCTGTTCGTTTATTTTTTTTCTCTCTACGGAAGAATCAATAAACTTAGTGTTAAACACTGTCGCATCATTTAATTCTAACAAGAATACTAGTTTATATATGAAAAGAAAACCAATTTGAGTTTCACGGCGTTTCATTGCTTTTTTTTCATTTCTTCCCAACCGATATTTAATGTTTGTCTTTTTTTTATTCTCTTATGACATTATGCCCTCTATTCGTTTGTTCTGTTTATTCTATTTTTTCACCTTGATATTTTCACTGTTCTTCTTTATTGCTCATCATCAATATTTGTCTATTATTATTATTATTATTGTTATTATTATTATTATTATTATTATTATTATTATTATTATTCTAGTTATTTTCTAATTGTTTATTTAAGCTCATCTTTTCTTTTCGTCATTTATTTTCAAATTTATTTTATCATATTGAATGCAATGTGATCATAACTTGAGTTAACGCACATAGTTATGTATATTTACATGTTGGTAGATTCCGTGTTGATTATGCCTGACTGTTTAGTGTGTTTTTATTTGCTCGTTTATTTGTTGTTACTGCTACAACGTTTGCTAGTATAACTAATCTTTGCAATCAATAAGTTTCTTCCTTTTAATATATATATATATATATATATATATATATATATATATATATATATATATTAAGAAAACAGAGATAATAACAAGCACAATGTGTTATCTCATTCAACAGATATGTAAATGTGAATTATAATTTCATTATGCTGTTTCTCTTTTTCTTCTTTTTTTTTTTGACTAACATATTTTCTTCATTGAGAATCAGAATTAGGTTATGTAAAGTTTAAACAAAAAAAAAAAGCAAAACTAATTTCTTTATTAGAAGTTTATTCATTGAAACTAATATAGTTTTGAATGTACTTCAAGAAATGTATGTAATGCAATTGTTGTGTTTTTACATTTTAACCAAAAAAAAAAAAAAATAAAAGGATTTATGAAGTTCTATCTGTTCGGGTTGTTTCAGTTTATGTATGTTGCGAGTGCATGTACTTCTTTTTCACCTTTCTAATGTGTGATTGACACTGCTTTTAACGAGTCATCAGTGTTTTGTTATGAATGAGATTTCAATTGTAGCAATAAGATCAATCACTTTCTTCAACGATTACAAGTATTATAGATGTTCATTGTTCACATTGTGACTTATCAACTTGTTCAACAGATATATAATCATTAGAAAGGATTTGTATTGTACAGCTATGAATATTCAGTATAATAAACATTTGGTTAGTTATCTTTAGCATGTGTGGATTTCACGAGTGGATTGCGATTATGCTACAAGCTTTTTAGAGAACATAAATTACTACAGAATGGGTTATATCGAAACTGTTGGTATATATACCAGCAATTACTGCGTTATATATATATATATATATATATCAGTATAATATCAAATAATTATACGGTCAAATCTTAGTTACATCTAGTATGGGTTTTTTCATGCGACTGTGGCCACATAAATCCAGTTACCTATATAATATGTTCTGTCGGTAGACATTTCAAATTAGTCTGGTAATTTCTATCGAAGTAGAACATTTCCTATTGAGTTAGTATGTACTTACTGAGTACGTTTTCAGTATGTATAATGAGTCGTAGGTTTGTGTTTTACTTATCTATCTAGTCACATGAATTGTGAGTCTAAATAGTCAGTGGGTACTTGTGATCAATCATCTGACCTTCTGTTGTTCTGATTGGATTGGCAGAATCAATCGATCGTGTTACGGATATTGTAACTAAACTGTTAAGTTAAACCACGTGTCAAGGTACTAAAATGTGACAGAGTGTTTGTAATATCGGCGGTTTTAGTGCTTATACTTGAAAACGGGAATCACTGTGAATCTCCAGCGCAAAGTGAGAACACAAAGACTGGTTTATCGACTCCGAAACAAGTCGTTAGTCGCGTTCATGTTAAGCCCAATGCACTAATGTATATGCTGATTTTACGCACACTTTATGATTAGTTGGTAAACATCAAATAAATAAAAAGATACGGTTACTGTGAAACACCTACGAAGTTCGCTCAACAGTAGGAAGAACAGAATTATCACACTGAAAGAAAGTTTGCACCTGTCAAATTAAACTAAAGTCTACACTTAATTCAAACAAAATATTATTGACCAGAGATAATGTTACACTGGTAAATACAACCCGCAAGTGCTAGATCAGTTCGTTGTAATTGTCTGTCTTGGCAAATTTTGTTATTTTCATCATCTTGACTGTGTTTATCCGTTGATCTTTGACCTTTTGAATAACTTGAGCTCTTTCATATGGATTCATACATCAACTCTGTGGCTGTTAAACTACTATATTATGCAAACATCAGATTTACTCATGAAGACCGTTTGTAACATCTGTAATTTAGCATGACTATTGGTTTGCTCGATCTAATCTCTCTGAATTTCAACAAATTTTGAGTTAGTGAGAATCAAAGCTTTCCCATTGAAGTGTTACTAATTTATTTATAATATCATTGAATTGTACTTATATGAGTTCAAATCAGTTGCGCTGCTGTAGTTATATTGATTCTTTATATACATTTCTACGTTTTGCATTATCTGATCATTAATAAGTTTGTGCTTGCCTACTACTAATGAGTTTTATTCCATCTTATGTATGTCTCTACACGATAAATGTATATATTTATATATACATCGGGAAAATTCCTATTGATGTTAGGTAATCAGGTCATCGAAGTAGGAATATATACATATATATAAAACAATTTGCAATGGCCTGTTATCCTGGTATTTTTTTTCTCAAGAGAAAAATAGATACATAACATTTAAATTATATAAACTCTGCAGGGGAACCATTATTGTATGTTTGTCAACTAACTTTATTCTAATGAGTTTCTATGGTAAGATACCATGTGACATTGTTAAATTCTGAGGTTCGATCCAAGTACGTTTGTGGCATGTCAAACCTCACCATGCAAAATGTGAAGAAACGTTTGATTACCAAACTGAATTATAATGTACACAAATCACGAATGTATGTATATACAGTTGTCGTTCCGATTCACACTATGATATGTAGACTGAGAACTTGAGTAGATGCATAGTCGCCTTCTCCTAGTTGCATGTCCCGTTTATAATTTTTCACTCATTGCTTGACCTTACAGTTGTATGCAAACACAGTAAGGGCTTACTTTATTCAGCTATGTTGATTGGTGAATGTGCTATCTTGAGCAGTCTTTTGCTTGGTTATGCTACTCATTAGGAGCTTTTTGAATTTGAATAGTTACGAAACTGGCACCAGAAAGTGATGGAAAATTCTATATTAAATTCCTAAAGGAGCACTAGTTCCTTCAATATTGTTGATAGATTATGCTGACAAAATTTAACTGGCTCAAAACCTAGGTCGAACTGAATTTCCTATAGACTAACTCTCATTACTTAACATCTAATTGAACTGTCTATACAAACCTCATACTAAATGATAGATATAAGTAAATAAACAAAAGTGAAATTTTGGGAAATATTTTACAGTAAACTAATAAATACAGTTTTACTGTGTATTTTAACACCTTAACTGCAAGACTTCATTTAGCTGATTAGCTATTTTACCGTCCGTTAATTACAGCCTATTAGTTAAGTATGGTGCTTACTCAGTTTTGTAATAAAATTAACTTAAATAATGTACAGATTGTGATTTCGCATGTATAATGTGTTGTAAGTGTTTAATTGATGTATACTTCCATGCGTATCTTTGAGTCCCTACTTTTATGCTTTTATTGGGGATAAAAGATTTCATAAACTAATAAGTTTTCGAATGTTCTCAGGTTGTTGATAGTGTTTATTGGTGTTATCGATTTTTTTTTATTTTAATTGTGATGTTGAATAGTGGAAAGAAACTATTTTCTCTTAATTAACTAATAATAGTATTTTGGAAAGCGTACAACAGACACATACATCTCAGTGTAAAATCGGAAAAAGGCAGTTTTTAGTGAGAATTTATTTAGACAACACAAAACAGATTGATACAATCAATATCAACTACTGCTGCTACAACAACAACA